TGAAAGGAACATGATAAAGGCAGTGAAAGTACATCTAGGGATGACCAAATAATGAAAAAAATGGAAGAATATAATACAACATTAAACACAATTAAAGAACTAAGGGAAAACATAGACAAAGAGCTAAATAAGGAAAACAATGCACGAATACAAGGAGGATCTAAAAAAAGAGGTGTTGTAACTGAAAGGAGCAATAACTGAAATGAGAAACAACAGAAGGACTTTACCAATGGATTTTACCATGCAGAAGAAAGAATAATTGAATTAGAAGATAAAATAGTTAAAATTACAGACACTGAAGAGCAACAAGAACGAAGGCTCAAGAAGGTTGAAAACAGTTTAATGGAATTATGGGACAACAAGAAATCTAATATATGCATCATGGGAATTCCAGAAGGAGATGAGAGAGAGAAAGGAACAGAAAGAATATTTCAAGAGATAATGACAGAAAATTTCCCCAACCTAATGAAGAACATTAATCTACAAATGCAAGGAGCTCAAAGAACTTCAAGCAGAATAAACTCAAGGAGATCTACACCAAGATACATCATAGTTAGGCTCTCAAAAAGTAAAGATAAAGAGACAATCCTTAAAGCAGTGAGACAGAAGCAAACAGTCACATACAAAGGATCGCCAAAAAGATTAAGTGCCGACTTCTCTTCAGAAATACTGGAGGCCAGAAGGCATATATTTAAATGATATATTTCAAGTGCTGAAAGAAAAAAAAAAAAAGCTGTCAATCAACAATACTATACCCAGCAAAACTATCCTTTAAGAATGAGGGTGAAATTAAAACACTCTCAGATAAACAGAAGCTGAGAGTTCATATCCACCAGATTGGCCCTACAAAAATACAAATGTGAGTTCTGCAGATGGAAGGGAAAAGACAACAGAAAGTAATTCAAAGCAACACATAAAAAGAAAGATCCCTAACAGAGGGAAATGCATGGACACATATAAGGGTTAGTAATAAGGTATTCATGCTTGATAATTTTAAATGTTTTGTCCTTCATGTTTTTTAATTACAAATATATAAAAAGCAAGGATAAAATTATGTTACAGGGCACACGAATTATAAAGATGTAATTAGTGATAACAACAAAAGGG